GGAGAGGCGGGGAGGGTAGCGAGGATTCGCTTCCGTGTCCCAGTAGCACTAATGACCGCCATCCTCCCCTCCTTCCGTTTACTGCTCCCACTACCGCGCCCTTGCACTCTCACCCCTCCATGGTGCGCTCCCCACTTCTTCTCAGCGCCAGCGTTGTTTCCCCGCCGTCTCCCCTCCACCCGTAGCACGTACATCCAGGATGACTCGAGTTACGTCATAGCGCCTAGAGCGTGCGCTTTCCCCCCAAACCCCTCCGTGCTTCGCTCCACACTGCTCTAACTCGTTCGCGTTCTCCCTCCCCCTCGAATGGATCTCTCTCCTTCCACCAAACCGTTGTACTCCCCGACCGTCACGATCAACCCCTCCACCTTATCCGCGTTGAGAATCCAGCAGCGCGGAGCGTATACACACGCTACGAGTACGCTATATATCTTTCCACTATAGCGGCCAGCACTTGGCAAAACCGTGGGGGACCCGGCAGTCTCCTCTGGTACACCGAGCTGTGTGTTACCGTTCCTCGCTTGTTGTATCACGTTCTCGCCGTAATCAGCGTCGACGCGCGTCCGATCTGACAGACCTGTAGTCGCGGCGGCACGTCGTCGTCTACACACGCGCGCACCCTGTATACATATATATATACACACACAAAACTTACGTATATGTGTATATATACGTAGAGGCAGAGAAAGAGAGGGAGAGATACACACAGGTGACCCAGCAACATACACGCACACGCGAACGTATACGAAGTCCGTGCACACATCATCCACCGGCATACGCACCTTTGCGCGCACACGGACCACCGACCAACAGAAGATCCTAAAGGAAGGATATAAGGAGGAAAAATCCGACGTGGGTGTTCGAGCAGTGCGAAGACCAAGGCAATCGCTTGTCGCGTTTAATCGGACACGCGCGATCGCGGCTCTTAAGTGAAAAAGGGTACGGGACGCACTGGAGAGATACACGGTGTGGCCAGGTGCAAACGGTCCTTCCGGTTAGTCGTCCGTACCTCGGCCTTCATCATCGAGGAGTAACACGTGCAGGTGTGTATCCGAACGCGCGCACGTGTACGACGTACGCTCGTCACGCTACATATCCGTGCATACATACGTATCACGCTGTGTGTGCGTACGTGTGTTTGTGTGCTTGACTGATTTAGGCGATCGGAGCAGGGGAAGAATCTAGCACGACACAGACAGGTAGGCATAGACGAGTTCCTTGCAACGTGAGATTTCTCCGCTGAGAAATCAAAGGAACCGAGTTACAGATTAAAGTTTCAAACGGTTAGGCCCAAATATTTTCGATTTGTGTACAATCATGTATAATGTATCGCGTCGTGGAAGTTCGAAAGTGTTTGTTGTTCCTTCAATGTCGGTTTCCAATTGGTGAGCCAATTTTATGGTGGTGTCCTGCTGTTTTTTTGTAAAGCTTGGACGTTTGAGGATAACCAATGGCGAGTGAGTGTGCCTCTTTAAAGACGTGAGTTGCACGCTTCTCCCGCGAGTACACGTTGAAAGAGATCGTTGCGTAAGCATTGGGGGTGAACACGTAGTGAAATCGGAAAGGGTCGTTCGAGGCCGCTTCGAGCTCCAGAACCAGGGATTGTTCGAGGAAAACCTAGTGAAAATGTAATTAGAGTGGATAAACTACGAATCGAGTTTGATTACACATAGTGGATCTCATAGTTCCGTTGTTCTTTTGTTTCGGATGCATTGTCATGGATCAGAACGAAGATCTTGTATTTCTTCTTTCGATGGAATGTTGTTTTGTCTAGTTCGGATGCAATTTATAATAGTTTTTTATTCGTATTTTGACCGATTTATTCCATATAAGCCATAAATTATTTGGTTCCCATTTTTTTCATTCATCGTCGTTAGACGATCACGAGAAATTTATCTAATTAGAAGTCGGAGAAAGCATGTTCTAAATACTATCAAACTGCAAAATACAAATTGATAACTCGCATAGTTTCAGTAAAGCGATTTGTATATAGTAATACAGATATATTGCGTCGTTGAAGGTTGAACTATACATATGATAACACATATGGCTCACATGATGTTTGAATACTTTTTCATACACATGTGACAATTGGAATATTTTAAAAATTTAATTCACAATAAAATCATTCCGTTTTCATATTGTGAAAATGGAAATTAGTGTATCATTGTCATTTAGTAGGAATTGAAGTAAGGGAAGTTGATGTTTCATCTCATAGAATACAATTCCAAATTGTCTATACTTTTTCGTCGAACATATTCGCTGCTATTCAAGTTCTACTCGAATTCTTTGTATTCTCGTTCCATCAGAAATGTTTTTATCTTAGATAACAATGTCTTTTGCAATACACTGTTCAGTGCTTTGCTTACTTCCCTATGTTATTTCATGATCATACACAAAAACCAAAATGCAGTAGTTGTGTCGTTATAATAATGAAATAATTGAATCAGCGCTCCATATGAGTCAGTAGTAAATATGTAGAAAAATTCCACTGTCTGCAGATTTAAGTAAGTACTTAATGAAAATCATATAAAATATTAGGGGGATCTGTCAAGAACGATTATTTATCTACGAAACCATTCAGCGTTAGAGGGCAATAAAAGCAAGGGGGATTTCCCATCCTCGTACACGCCTCGCCCTTTCACATTAAACGGTTCGTAAATATTGACTTACAGTCGAGTAGGCGTGAAGATCGGTTCGTCATTTGTGCTCCACGAGTGGCTTCGTTGACAGCTGTAATTTGTATCGTCTGCAGTTTACATTGTTCGCGAGTAAACCGTTTCTCGGTGCCAGCATAACCGTACAGCCTTAAATCAATGTATGCCACGTAACGTTATTGATAAAAGGGGTACGTACGTATGTATCACGTTGCACGACAGTTATATATGCATGAGCTCGTGTTTTCCTCTTTTTCGTACATATATCTTCGATCCGTGAAACACAGAAGGGATAGTTTAAGAGTTTGTGTATTAGGAAATATAATATCTTCGATCACACGTGCACTTTGATACCATTACGCTACATGACACGTTTGCTGAGATGAGATAAGGCCGTTTGTCAATTTGACACAATCTTCTGATTATGAATTTTAGAACGCCCGTGGATGGATTTCACAAATCCATAGGGATCTGAATCTATTTAAAAATCCTCTCTAAATTATATTACGTTAAACAAAAAGAAAATTCTATTTATCCCTTCTACTATAACCTTTTTATTCACAAATTCGCTTTATCACAACTCCTATACCCCAGAAACAAATGGTTTCAAAATACCCACTTAGTAGAACCCTTCTCCGCCGACTTGCGAAACAATCGGCAACGGAGCGGAGCCTCAGATGAACCTAGCACAATGCGCGCGGCTAAGTATCGTAATCATCCATCACCGGATTCAAGCCAAACTCGTTGGCTTTCAACGCTAATTGTGTTATCGTTGATCTCATCCCTCGACGACCATTTATTAGTACGCGACCGTGTCTCAGAACTCAAGCAGAATCCTGCTTCTCATTTAAGAACGTTTCGTGGTCGTGTTTACGACGCGAAATTTGGCATAGGAGCTAAACGACAACGATTCAGCGTGGACTACGCTGCGACAGGTGTTGTAACTGTCCCAGATTCCGGTTCGTTTACCAATAGACAGTCTCGCTTAAATATATCAGCAGCTGCGCGGTCGATTTCACAACGGTAGGGTCTGCGGAATCCTTGCGAATCGATATCGCGATCGGTCAAATCGATAGCCGAATCGAGCCAAGCCAGCACAGCCAGCCCCCGTTGCGAAACGAAAAGGAAAGTCGATCTACGTTTGCATCTTTCGGCAGCAGAATGCAATCTACCGACATGGATCTGCGGCCGAGGACCGCCAATTAAGTTTGCAAAACGCCTCGCGTATATTCACCCGTTTTCTTTGATTGCGTTTGTGAAAGGACCAGGAAGTTTATCCGTAGGATTTTTTTGTGAAAGGACTCTGTAGAGGTCCAAGAGTTGAATCTGCCGTTGGTGTTAATTATTCATCTTTTGGGATTTGTGGCTGGATGCTTTTACGGTGCATATCGCGTATTATCTGCGTTGCTAGTTTCCGGAGCTACGCGCTTAACGAAGCGCGTAATTCGAAACTGAAACAATGAGCGATGAGAATTGTTGATACTTGACGCTTGGGTTAGGGTTGTTCTTACGAGTATTGAGATGAAGGTCCACAAATGTCAGCAGCGTTCTTTTCGAATAAGACATTGATAGTTTGCGAAAAGTTGAATGTCTTTGGCTGAATCTTTTGTAGTTCTGATGCTGGTTTTTTTTAGGATAGTGGATATATCGTGAATATATCGTTTGAGTGAGTTGTTTTGGGTTTTACAAGTGGCGGAATCGAGGTCTTCAGGGACGATGCGTAAGTAAAGCGAATCTGTAATTCTTTCCCTGTTCAAGAAATTTTATGCGGATTTAAGAAAGTAATAATTGATCGACGTAAAACCAAGAGTGTATAAAGGACGATTTGTTATTTCTCACTGATTCTTAAGAAATACCATCGATGGAATCTTATTAACAAATAATTCAATACATCGCGGTTTTCTGGTTTACGCTCTAACAATTAAAATAATCTTAGTTGAATTATGTAGAAAGTGGGGAAATGCGTAAAAATGTCTTGAATGTTCAAGAAAAATGTAATGAACAAACGTTTTCTTCACCTTAATAGTAACATATACGTGGTGTAGAATTTCTAGTAATATCAGTAATTTTTTCAATTATAAATGCTGGATATTTCTTTCTGTCCTTTTCTGTAGATGTTTGGTCCGTAGGGACGAAGAAATGGCGGAAGGTTGTTCCTTGAAAATGCAGAATTCTTCTCGAGGCATTAGTAACCGTGGCAACCACTTAATTTCCGTAATTTTCTGTTTATTACTCGCTGAGTTATTGCGTTATCAAGGCAGGAATACGGCACGCTATTTTTGACACGTCCACGTGCAGCATTTAAATGCTTGCCTTGTTTTAGAAGCTCGGTCGTTTCAAGTACTCTGATCATGATGCGAGTTGTAAAAGATAGTATGAAATTTGATTAAATTGAAGTAGATATATATATATATATATATATATATATATATACGTTTAAATGTGGTGTGCGTATAATTTATGTAACATGTAATGGTCAAGATAACGATAACGATGATGGTAATTTTGTAAGAGACAGATTAATTAAGTTAAAAATTATGGATCCTCAGAAGAGATTAAATTTATCAAAAAATATGTGCTTGAGTACCTTTTTATAAATTTATAGATACCTATTACTTGGACATATAGCAATAAAAATTCGTCAATTATTAATATACCTAATTATCTTTCTCCGTCGAATTAATTATCGATAAATGTCAATTAATATCCAATATCAATGACAAAGCGAGCGATTTAGCATCTAAAATTCCCATATAATCATAAATATCGTCATATTAATATCATAAGATTCATATAAATATGTATAAAATGTATTGAATAAGAATTTTTACCTCTTAATACTCCACAACGAAAAAAATCCAAATTTGAAAAAATAAACTTCCATCAAAATCAATTAGAGGTTTCAAACATCTCGTAAATCATAGCGGACGCACAATGCCGCGAAATTAATTAATAACCACTGGCAATTAATTACCTGCACCGAATAAAACAGAAGAAAGTTGGCGGCGGTTGGTGGGTCTCGAACAAAAGAGAGGCGTCGCGACGTCGTCGTTAATCGTCTTCGGGATAATTACGCGATTCAACCATTGGATTTTTGCGCGGAAACGCCGCGCTGCCCGAAAGCTCGTTGTTGCCGCATCGTGATTTCAATTCGCCGCCGAGCCTCTTTGCCTTTCTGTATTTTTTTTATTTTTCTCTCTTTCTCTCTCTCTCTCTCTCTCTCTCTGTCTATCGCCACGAGCTCGAGCTTTTGTACGGTTCTCGCTGCCTGATTTTTCCATACCAAAAGCCACGGAATGTCGCTGCGCGAATGTTTGAACCCGCCTCGACCAATTACGTTCCGTGAATTACATCGCGACGCATCGCTTACAGAAATGTCGTTTTTG